GCGTGTTATATGTTGTCTCATTTACTCTTCACAGTAGTCCTATTAGGTAACACTACTATCATCCACACCTAGCAGATGAGGAAACTGAGGCAGAGAGGTCAAGTTACTGGCCCATGGTTGCACAGCCAGAACCAGGTATGCACTTAACCTCAAAGTTATGCATTACCTCACTGAATAATCACAACAACCCTGACACAAAGGTTTAGTGCTATTATTGCTCCATTTTACGGATGGGGTTCTTGAGGCACAGAGAGGTAATTTGTCCAAGGTCACACAGCGGGTGATGGCGGAGATAGCATTTGGAATCAACCACACCCTAAAACTTTCCTTTTTAACCCCTACAGTTATTGCTTCAACTGTGAAAGCAAATAAGAGTTAACAAGACTTAGGTGGTGGAGCGAGAGGGTTAGACTGTTGAGAGAGAAAATCTACAGTGAGTCCTTTCTACAGTAGTTCCTTTGAGGACCACGTGGCCTCATCCCAGGGCTAACTTCAGACCACTCCCATCTCGTTCTTAAAGCAGTTCCCTGAGCGCCCCCCACTGAGGGCCGATGACTAACTCCATCCAGAGGCTGCCTGTCTGAGCAGGAATTACAACCTGTCACAGGCACACACAGTCTCATTGTTCCTCCCTTTATTAGCAGTAATGGAATAGAAACCTGGCTTGACAACTGGGACCTTTTGCTTATCAAACTGGGCTCCTGCCCAGAATCGTGGGTAAGAGCATGGGCTTTGGAGCCAAACAGCCACAGGTTCAAATCTCGACTTTGCTACTTATTAGCTGTATGACATTAGGCAAGTTGCTTAACCACTCTGAGTTCCAGTGTCCTTTCCTGTAAAATGGGGGTAATGATAATATGTAGCTCATTGGATTTTGAGGAGTAAATGAGAGAATACAGATAAAGGGTTTAGCACTGTTCCTGCCTTAGAGTAAGCACTCAATAAATGATAGCTAGGACAATTCTTATGGTTACGAAGTTGGAAATAATGACATCCTATCCCAGAAGGGTATGATACCTTCCTCTGTGTTCTAAGTACAAGAACGGCTAATACTTAGAGAGTTTTTCCCACGTGCCACGCACCATGCTTAACGTCTTATGGGTATGGCCAAATTCAACCCTTACAAGCCTTACAAGATGGAACCCTTTGTTACCCCCATTTCACAGATGAGAAAACTGAAGCACAGAGAGGTGGTGTCTCCTGCTTGGGGTCACAGGCTGGTGAAGGCCAGTTTACTCCGGGGCCCAGGCTGTTAGCTACCCTGCTGTACTGCCTCTCAGATGAGCCCCTGAAGCCCTGGAAACCATGAGAAACAACAGGCAAGGGTCAGGGTGAGCTGAGATAAGCAGAACAGGATGGATGGGGCTGGGTGACCACTGAATAAAATAGCACAAATGAAAGTCACCAGCTTTGAACTGGTGGTACAAATTACGCATTTTCTTGCTTCCTTGGGCCCCTGACACTTCCAGGTGGGGGTCAGAATCAGAAGTCCGGAGAGAGGAAATCTCAGGGGTCGGTCTTGCTGGTGGAGATTACAGGCCCAATTCTGCAGATTCAGGCCAAGGGCAGGCATTGTTCTCTGGCCCCCGTTTCCTGGAACAGCCTCCGGCACAGAGCAGAGGGGCCCGGCTGCCAGAGCCCAGATGCGGGCGAAGAACCAGAGAATTCAGAGAGGTTCTCTGGAAATCAATCATGGTTGGGGCACCCATCAGACTCTGCCTGCTCTGACCCCTCGAATCTATTCTAATAAGGCTCTGGAGTCTCACTTGAACTTGTCACCTTTGACTGAATCTTCAAGAAGCAGTGAGATGCTCTTGCCGCCCTGGAGATATCTCCCAAGGAGAGTTACTTCCTGCCCCACCCCTAGGCCTGCTCCCAGTCTTTCCCAGGAAGTTAGCAGTTGAGCGAGTAGAGCTCCCTTGTTACATCCAAAAAGCACAAACAGTTCTCCAGCAAAGGTCAAAGCATGTACTCTCAGCTCCATACTACCTCTTTCAGGCACTTGGCTATGATTTACCACAACCTCAAGTTACCATGCTCAATTCTCTCCCAACCCCTCCACATTGTCAGTCAGTTATGGTTCTCATTTGTATGTGCAGATACCAGCGACATGTTTTTCTACCTGTCTTTTCTGCTGGATTGTAAGATTTCTGTTGGGCCGTAATACAGAGTGTTTTACAATAGCATAATCAAGTGGGTGTGGTCATTTATTCTTTAGTCACTACTCCAAGGGCAGTTGAGGAAGAGTAGACTCTGCAAACTCCATTGCCAACAAGGAGCCAGGCAAGTAACATAAACAAATGAAGCAGGCCAGGTGTAGTGTGATAGGGAGTGGTAGAGACTGTGAAAAAGTGCTAAGGGCTTGCTTGTATGTCTAAAATGGAGTTACTACCCATCAGCTCCAACGACGTACTACCAGGTAAGAGATGAAGACTCCCTATTGTCAGATCTGGGAAATAGTCAAGAATAGCCCCAAATTGGATGTTTTATGTAAAATCTTTTGATTTTTAAATGTTGATATTAATTTAAGAAAATTTACAAATAAATTGCCAAACAAAGCTTCATTTGGTCCTCAAACTGCTGATTCACAGTCCACCATCTCTAGGGACCTTCCAGGCCTGATCTGTTTCAATTCCACAGCCCCGAATTGCTGGCCCAGAATGTATGCTCAGAATGTCCTTGCTGAATATGTGAACGAGTGTAAGGGTGGGTTCACCGGCTATCACCTACATTAAGGATCTATGAAGAAATAGTGTCTTAATTGTGTTTGGAAACTGAACTTGTGTTTGAGAGTTAGCTTTCACTAAGTATGGAATCGTTTGGTTATGCCATCTTCAAGCGTGTTTACATCCTTCCATTTTTGCCTCCCTCCTTCCACTGGACGTGAAAGCCCAGAGATAAAGACACACACTGAACAAGGCCCAAGCCTAACGATGTCAGGTGAGTTAGAAAGCTGAGTTTTACTCAGGCCTGGAGGTAAAGCAGGGTTAGTGGAGCAGTGTTGGGATTAATTGATAATTAGTGAGATACTTCATTATCCCTGCGTAGGTATTTTTCTTAAATCTTACTTAAATTGTACACAATTAGGAATATATACCATGATTAGTAATTAATAAGTGCTAATGCTTGGGCATAATATACACTGTTTTATAACAGCATAATCAAGTGAAATATGTGCTTCTCCCTGTCTCTAAGTTAATCATGTCTCAAGCAGCTATGTTATTTGCCCATAATGCGTGCATATGTAACTGTGGGCCAGGGAGCCATGAAGAAATACATAACCCCATGGACAGTAGCCTAGAGACTCCACGGGGGCCTTCTTCCATGCCACCTGCCTGAATGGCACCACCAAGCCCCCTAAACCTCACTGTGGCCAGTATCACAGTTACCATGTCCCAGACAGTAGACTGGGCACTTTTTATTCACTATTTCTAATCTTCATAACACTCCTTATCTGCAAGTATTCTAATTTACAGATGAAAACTCCAAGGCTCAATAAGGATGAATAGATTGCCCAAGGTCAAATAACTAATAAATGATGAAGCTGGAATGCTCACCTGGGTCCATCAGATGGCAAAATCCACCCTGTTTCCATACCAGCATACTGCCTGGAGAACTGGGCGCACCCACCCTTCCTTAGACAGGACAAAGTTGTACAGTACCCAAGATTCCCCGGGAGAGCACTGGAAGGGCTGAGATGAAAGCCTCGATGTCAGAGCACTACTTGAAGTACCAGACTACTCTGGGATAGCAAATACCTGAGACACGTACCATAACTCCTCTGCCCAGGGCCCATGGCAGACATAACTAACCTATTTCAGTGCAGCTTCTTGTACTTTTGGCAGCCACAACCAATCAATCAGAGCTGGCCCCTGTGAGGAAACATATTTGCCATCCTTGGTCTAGAGTCTCAGCACAACTGCAAGTGCAAGAACTTTCATAGCTGAGGTTGTAGAAGTTCTAACCAGAGTCTGGTGGCAAGCAGAGGTGGATGGAAATCACTACCTTTTGAACTGAGAGGGCCTTACATATGTGATAGGAGAAGGGGAAGAAAGAAAAGGATGACGTTAGGCTCCATAGTTTAAACACCAGCCCTGACAGGCTGGGGGCGGGGCCCACTTACATGGCTTGTGTGTGACCTCACGTGTACGTGTTGGGGCTGTGGGGTCCTGGGGTGAACAAGGAGCCAAGGAACTGGATACATCTGAACTGAGAATAGTGAAAACATTTTGGATCTTATATTTGGCTTTGCTCTAAAAAAGAGTTTGTTTTTCTGACATTTATTTATTGTTAAAACAGCTCTTTAAGAACATTAAAGGACATTTTGTGAAAGAAAAGCATCGTCCCTAATCCCCCAGTCCCCTGCTCTCACACAACTGTTTCCATTTCGTTTCTCCCCTCTGATCCTGGTCCACATGCATACCTACATTTACAGAGTTGAAATTAGCGTGCACTTGTGCAGCCTTCCAAATGACATTTTTTAAATGTCTGTGCAGTACACCCATGATTTACCTATTTGTGGGTTACTAGACTGGGAAGTTTCCATGTTTTTTATATTTTATGCTACAATGAATATCTTTGTGCATTTAGCACTTTTGATAGATTATTTTCTTAGGCTAAAGAAGGGGGATTATTGAGTCAACATGAAATCTTTGATGAACATAGTTATGACTTTTTGCCCTTGTTTTTGACCTCACATGAAGGAACTCTCGGGGGTTTTCAGAGCACTTGTACTTCAGCTCCAAGGTTAAGAAGTTTGTTCCAGATCACCCAGCAGAGAAGACGCCTCCTTGGAACTAGCACTTGTGTTTCAGGCTCCTGATCCAAAGCTCCTTCACACCTATAAGCCTGGGGGTGCAGGGGTAAAGGCAGGGGTGGGGATGGGGGGCTATGCACTGCGAGGGGATGGGGTATGGAGCCCACAGGAAATGGGGATGGCAGCATCAAGAGAAGGGTAAAGTCTCTGCATGACCCCTCCTCATGGAATGTCCCTTCCTGACAGGAGGTCCTGCCTGACTTTTTAATTAAGAGAACATGCTACTTAGAGGTGGCTGGGCACCAGGGGAGACCAGGCTGTGTTATCAGATGCGGATTCTTATGAACGAGCTTGCAGCAGAGAAGCCTCTCCCCACAGCAGCTCTGCACAGAGCCCCTCCACTCTACCGGCCTGCAGCTGGACAGCCCCAGGCAGCATAGGGTGGTGTGAGAACTCTCCACAGAGGAAAAGGCTGGGTGGTCTCCAAAGCTCTAGTCCCTTTCTGTGAAGCACCAGGAAAACACAATAAACACAGGCCTAGCAGCCCCTGCCCATGCCTCAGCCCCAGGCCAGCTCCAGCCCCCTTCCCCAGCCCCCAGTTCCAGCCCCAGCCTCAGCTGCAACTCAGCCCCTGCCCCAGCCCTGGCCCAGCCCCAGTCCTGGCCCAGCCCCAGCCCCGCCTCAGCCCCAGCTCCAGCCCAGTTCCTGCTCAGCCTCAGCCTTGGCTGTAGAGAGCCCACCTTGGCCTAGAACATCACTTCACGGCCCAGGAGAAAGGTTTGTCAGTTTAGCCTCATCAGGCCCACTCCTCTTCCCCACCCAGCCCACCAGGATCTGGTGGGTGTGACTACAGGCCACACTCAGCACCACCACTGACCCATGCCCCAAGCCCAGCATTCTAGCCTGGGATTCCACAGAGCTGCAAGGCCACTGTCCACACCCAGGACTGGAGGCCTTCCTGGGCTCACACCAGCCCAGCCTTCCCATCTAGCAGAATCCTAGATAGTCAGTGGTTACTTATGAAGCCCTTGTTTTATGTGTCTGGCACTGTCCTAAGTTGGTGCTGAGGCTACAAAGGTGAAAAAGACAGAGTGTATGCTGCTGTGTGACCTTGGGCAAGTCAACCTCTGAGCTTCAATGTCCTCATCTACAAAAAGGGGTGGAGAGGGGCAGAGTGGTGCGATGGTTAAGAACTGGCTTGGGACGCCAGAGGGCCCCGGTTCGGATCCCACATATGAGGGCCAGTGACACTGCCCTCTACAGATAAGATGAGTCGCCGGCGACAGCGTAGGCTGCAGCCCCTGTGGCAGTGGGTTGCCATGGGCTACCATGTGTAGCCAGCAGCCAGCGTGAGCGGCCACAGCCACAGTGAGCGGCC